GCACTTAATCTAATGTCCCATTTCAGTCATTATGAATTTTCCTTGCAAGTTCATGTCATCCTTTAATAGGATATATTGGGCTATCAACGATGAATATGCTTGCAATTTTATGTTCCATTTCAGTAATATTTTGGAATTTCTTTCCCCTTAATTGGCATTACCTTACTGATGATAACCTAGGAGAAAATAGAGGACATTTGTCAGAGAGAAATTTCAGATGACTTTGAAGACCTACTAGACAAAGTGTAAAGTCAGTCAAAAAAATGGTCTTCACTGATCATTTTCTAACAAACCAGGACAGCTCACAAAAATATGAAAGGATGAACGGTAGACACCAGCGTGCGGATCCCCCCCCCCCCCCCCCAAAAAAAAAATCTGAATGCTTGTCTTCGAGCTGTAGCATTGTTTGTGACAAGTAGAAGTAGCAACTCTCGTGAAGGAATGCTTTCACTGAACCGAATGAAGTGATGATGATTTGGTATATCTTTGCAATCTTGGAGGTTTGGTCAAGATGTTTTGCTTATGAAAGCCTGTTATCTTAAATTTATATTTTGTACTGTTTGATTTGGATGATCAAGGAATGTTCAGTTATCTGCCTATCAATTGCTTTAAGTTTTATGATCTTATATTAATATCCTCAGGGAAAGATGTGACTTTTGGATTTATTAGCTGTCATGACATTCCGTAACGGTGTGTGTTTTCTGCAATTTTTTGAAGGATGGAAGACACGTGCATGTTATTGAGAGAGACTTCACAGAGCCTGATAGAATCATAGGTGAACTTCTCCAGCCAGGTGGTTACCTGAAGCTAATTGAATTGGGGTTAGAAGGTATGGAGATCAAAGTAGCATACAAAATTTTTATGGATTACTCAGGTGCTCGGTTGAATTGGGCATCTTTTCTCGTCATCAGCCTGGTTACAAATTGCTAGTGTTAAACCACAATGGTAAATGACATATATGTCTGTGAAATTGAGAGAAATACACACCTATTGAAGTAAAATATTTTAACACTTGAAATTTATCTTTTACTTGGCCTTTGTCATTATTATTAGCTTATGGTAGGTGGAGGCTAAGATGGCCATCAATGCAAATATCTTTTATCAATACTGTTTTTGACATGTGATATTAATGTTTGTCTTCTATGTCAGATTGTGTGGAGCAGATTGATGCTCAAAGAGTGCTAGGATATGCTCTTTTCAAGGATGGAAAAAATACCATGCTATCTTATCCCCTGAAAAAGTTTCATGCTGATGTGGCTGGGAGGAGCTTTCACAATGGCCGTTTTATACAGAAGATGAGAGAAAAAGCTGCGGAACTGCCCAAGTAGTTTTTCTTGTCCTTTTGTAACCGTTATTTTTAGCTATTAGAAATGTTTTGTGAGATATAAGATATAAATTGTTGGTACATTTCGTTGTCCATGCTTTTATTCTTGTACTCTTGGGCTTGATTATCTTATTCTCATCACTTTCATCTGCACTTATTTTCTCTCTAGTGTACGAATGGAACAGGGCAATGTAACATCCCTCCTTGAGGAGAATGGAACCGTTAAAGGAGTCCAGTACAGAACCAAGGATGGCCAAGAACATAAAGCTTATGCTCCTTTAACAATAGTGTGTGATGGCTGTTTCTCGAATTTCCGTCGGTCTCTTTGCCAGCCCAAGGTTAATACCTTTGCCTTGCTAGAAATATTGCTGTAGCCTTGATTCCTTTCTTCTTTTGTGATTTTTTTTTTCACTCAAAAGTCAAGAGTGTGCCACAATGGGGCATCAAAAGTTGCTTCTATCCACGCACTAATTAGTCCGCACACCTAACTTTGAGTGTCATAAATTCCTTAAAACTTTTGCCAGATAGAAGTGCCCTCTTCCTTTGTGGGTTTAATCCTGGAAAATTGTCAACTTCCCTTTGCAAATCATGGGCATGTGATTTTAGCAGATCCTTCCCCCATCTTATTTTATCCAATCAGCAGCACTGAAATTCGTTGCTTAGTTGATTTACCTGGCCAAAAGCTTCCTTCCATCAGAAATGGTGAAATGGCCAATTATTTGAAGAATATAGTGGCTCCGCAGGTATCTTAAATTCTGCTTTATGGATAGTCCAATTGCAATTTGTTGTCGGTTACAGTATTTATATTTTCTTTTCTCAGTGAAAGAGCCAAAGTTTTCAATTTGCTTCATCCTTCATCTTCCCACATTCCATGTGTTATTTTTTATCACAGATTCCACCTGAGCTTTACAGTGCTTTCATATCTGCTATCAGTGAGGGAAATATCAGAACCATGCCGGCTTATCCTCTCCCTACTCCTGGAGCTCTTTTAATGGGCGACGCTTTCAACATGCGGCATCCGTTGACTGGTGGAGGAGTGACAGTGGCACTGTCTGATATTGTTACGCTTCGTGACCTTCTCAGGCCATTACATAACCTTAATGACGCAGCTTTACTGTGCAAATATCTTGAATCCTTTTACATCTTGCGCAAGGCAAGTAGATTTCTGCATTTTAGGTATCTTGTTTTGTAAATTGGTCCATATACTATGCTGCATATAGTTACATGTCTAATGATGTCGCTTTCAAAGTAACTGTGGCATGGAAAATTACCGTTGTCGAAACCAATATATTAGTAAATATGAAAGTAAATTCAGAAGTACAAGTGTTCCTACAAATAGCAACTCATGACCTTACATGCCTCTTGCAGCCAATGGCATCCACTATTAATACGTTGGCAGGGGCCCTGTACAAGGTGTTTTCTGCTTCACCTGATCAATCGAGAAAGCAACTGCGCCAAGCATGTTTTGACTACTTGAGCCTCGGGGGCACCTTCTCGGACGGACCAATGGCCTTACTCTCTGGTCTGAACCCTCGTCCACTGAGTTTAGTTCTCCATTTCTTTGCCGTTGCAGTCTATGGAGTTGGCCGTTTGCTTTTCCCAATTCCTTCATTCAAACGCATCGGGATTGCAGCCAGAGTAATTTGGGTGAGCACCTACCTTCTCCTCCTTTCTCCATTCCTTCCAGTTCCTTTCCTTTTATGTGTGGTCCGCATCCCTTCTAGTTCATGAGTCACTGAGTTTTCTTTTTTCATGACGCTTTGACATAATTACAATTTTTGTCATTCTCACTGGAGGAATTGTTGCAGTGTGCATCAGGCATAATATTTCCCATCATCAAGGCTGAAGGAGTGAGGCAAATGTTTTTTGCTGCAACCTTACCAGCTTATTATAGAGCTCCTCTTAACAGGTGATACATTGTTGAGGTGTGGGGGAGAGATCTTGCGACAGTCAAAATGGTTTTGATTTGGTTGGGGGATTGGGATTTGTCTCCTCCAAAATGGAAACGTATATTCTCCGGTGGCCCATTTAGATTTTCAAGGCGAAAAGAATCATTGCCGTTCTTGTCCCGCTTGTCAAAAATCCTCTGCAAGTCATTGCGGGTGAGGGTCTGGGGAAGACATAATTTATAATCTCTGCAACAAAAGGCTATGATCTCCCCAAAGTGACGGCTAAGATTCTTCATTCTTTTATCAAAAAGGTGCGTTTGGCTGATGAGCATGGAAACCGAACGCCTAAAACATATACGCCTGACACTACCTGTACAAGATATTAATTTATTTGTTTGTATATATGATAGGCACACACAAACTTTATTCAATTGTATGTATTGATACAACATATGTTGGCTGAAAAAAGTTATTGAGGCAATATATACTCAAGAGAGAAATATGAACGTCGGGGCTCGTTTCGTTGCATGCTGATGCTTCAGTGGTTAAAGAAATCTCTCTGTTTTTTTTTTAAAGAAAAATTACAATTAGGTGGAATTAAATATAAAAAAGCCTTTTAAAATCATGAAATTATTCTGAAGTTTTAAAAGATCTTATTATAATAAATTTTATTTGTTTAATTACTAAATTATTTTTTTTAAAGTTTGTATTGACAAGTGAAAGAGCAGTGGTTAACAATTTAAGGTACAAGGATTGACAACTATCATGATAGGTATTGACAACACATGCAACTTAAATTGTCAACTATTGTTTTTTTAGTTGTTAATGTAACTATAAAAATAATAATAAAAACAATTTAGTAATTAAATAAATAAAATTTATTATAAAAAAATCTTTTAGAACTTCAAAATAATTTTATAATTTTAAGATACCGTTTATATTTGATTCCGGACCTAATAGCAATTTTCCATTTCGGAATACGGTTAACGAAATCTCTGGTTTGATGATTTATTGAGTAGGACGGGGCTGTCTGTTCCACGTGTTATTAGTTCTTAGGCTTCCGTTTACGATAAGAACCTTGTTGGGAATAGGAATGGCTTACCAAGTAAGACAACATGAGAACCGTAGGATTCAACAAACCAGTTCAGCTATTGGGTCAATTTTCTTTTCTTTTTCGTCAAAAGTCTTCACTCGTCGTCGTCGTAGGAACTCTGAGGTAAGAGAGAGAAACACAGGCAGGCCAAAAAAAAAAAAGAGAGGGAAACACAGTATTGCTTAATCAGCAAGCAGCATTTAAAAAGTATTTATTGATGAAAAAATGCTCAGAGCCAGAGTTATGAGCCCAATACCTTATCTTCTCCACCGAACAGTACACAAATTGTAAGCCTCCCTGGAAATGAATCATTATGCCTCCAAGGAGGAATGGGCACTCCATCAGAAAATGGTGCCGTCGCATTTGCTTGGCGAGCAGTGCTGATAGTTCAGACTCATCAGATTCTGAAACCCACTATTCCCGTCGTCCGGCTAATATCGGCGAAGATCATCGTTTTCCGTTGCCGGAGACGCCGAGCCCAGCCATTGAAGATGCCATACCTTACGCTTCCCGTTCAGCTACTGAAGTGGATTGGCAGCTCCACCCACCACCACCGCCACCGCCTCCGCCTCCGTTTATCCTGGATCAGCTCCCGCAACATCATATACGAAACGATGGTCGGGTTCCAGGAATCCGTGTAAATGTAACTGAAATCTCGGGGATTGAAGATGATCATGGTGATGTGGTTAGGAATATGGAAATAACAGAGGCGATTACAAGAGAGAGAACCATATGTCCGATATGCAAGGAGGAGTTCAAATTAGGAGGAGATGCAGGCAAATTACCTTGCGGCCATTTCTTTTGCTTCGAATGTATCCATGTTTGGCTTAACTTTGACCAAAACGATACTTGCCCTGTTTGTCGTCGTCCCTTTCCTTCAACGAATTTCCGATCACCTGGAATCGCAGTCCCACCCCCACCTACAGTTCTTGATAGTCCCTGGGAATATTTCTTCTTCCCTCCTGAGCCCATTCTTACTGAGTCACATCTTGTTGCCGATGAAACTGGGTCGTCATCTTCCCCATCAATAATCAATAGCGAAGCTGGTTATGACACTGCACGTGACGAGCTTGATGCATCTCATGACCATCCACAAGCCTCTCTTGCTTCTTCCACACCTACGACTGTCTTTCCCTAATCTGCAAGTGGATCCACAAGTTCACGATATTTGCTTACTTCTCCAATTTTTGACAGCCATTCTCCTGGAGTTGCAATTTAATCTTCTTGACGGTTAATTTTCCTTCTTTTTCTTTTTTTTGGGGACAGCGGCTTTATGTTTGACCTGGTTTGCGTATAACTTGACAAAGATTGACAGAAGCAGCATGTTAATATTAGACCTGCCGTTCGGCTGATCTTTTGCGTGGGTTGAAGTATCTGTTCCAACCCAAAATAGCTTTTCATTAATTATTCGATCACTCATTTATTAATTTTCATTATTATGGCCATAATCACATCTAACAATAATAATATATTTCTCTTCCATCAATTTAATTTGCTTGTTTAATTTAGATTTGCGAGATTACGAGCCTGTTTGTTTTTTTTTTGTTCTTTTATTCTCAAAACAATTTTATAAAATTGTTTTTAAGAACAAGTTTTGGAAACAAAAAAATAAAAAAATTTGTTTGGAAAATAATTTTTAAAAATCACATTTGAAAAAAAATATATAAAAAATTACACTTTGACAAGTAGTAGTTATCACCGGTAGTGATAAGTAATAGGTAGTAGAAGAGAAGAAAAGAAAATTTTTCCAATTTTTCAAAACAAAAAATAAAAAATCCAAAAACAAAAATAAGAAAACATGTAAAAGTTGTTTTGGTTTTTCAGTTTTTAAAAACATATTATTGTTTTTTTTTTGTTTTTTAAAACAATTAACTAAAAAAAATTGTCAAACAAACTTTTTTGTTTTTCTGTTTTTAAAAATAAAAAATTGTTTTCAAAATAAGAAACCAAACAAGTCTTATGTTGCCCTCTACACTTCAACTTTTTTTTTTTTTCCGGTTGAGTCCAAGTATCCATCTCGTAGTAATTAATCCTCTTCATGTTTCAACTCTCATTTATAACTCATCTTGATGCTATGCCTGCGTACTAAATATTACTTTTGATCCTAAATATAAAAAGCAATTGAAGATTTAATTTGGTCACAAATATAATATCTAAATTCATTTTATTTTTTATATTTATTTATTTATTTTTTAAAATAATCTTATAATGATTGTATATGTTTGAGAGTTTTTATTATAATACGTATGATTAACAAGGGTAAACAATATTTATTTACTACAGATAACTAACTTAATTAATTTTTTTAATATTTACAAATTAGTTATCTCGCTCTTATATTAAAGAGTGGAGTTACTATTATACTCGGTACTTATATGCAACTGCAAGATGACAATTTTTAGAAGTTAGAGGTGAATGAAAACTAGCTTCTTTCTGCATTTACAGGCACTAATCTTTATGTGTAAATACATCGGGTGTAATATCAAGATCAAACTAATTTGTTGTTTTATTTATTGACTTGGTTCATAGTTCGTTTGAATAAAGTTCAATTCCCCACCTCTCATCATTCTGCTCCTGCTAATTCAGGCGACGATGCATCTTACGATGCTTAACTTTGATTCAAAATTGCTGTAAAGCCATTTATTTATGTGAGAACACTGCCATTTTTAATCGGAGAGAAAATGCCTGTTTGACAGATTGAAGTTTTTTTCTTTGAATTTGGGAAATTTATGAAGTATTTCTCTAATCCTTTTTATAGTATGGAGAGAAGTTTTTTTTCCCTATTTATAAGTCGAATAAGTAAATTTTTAATATAAGTATACTATTTTACTATTAATTTATTATGATGTAGTATATTGTTATTTTCTTGAAATATATATATTAAACAGAGATAAATTTAAAAAATTATTAAATTTTAAGGCAGAATTATTAGATTTAAAGTTTTTTTAGAGTCCAATAAAACATATTAAAAGTAACCTATTAAGAGCAAGATTTTAATTAACCACAGGTGCTTTTGGTCTATATGTACCACACATGTGGAATCAGTTTTGGTGCTCATCATTTTAATGAATATTATAAGTTCATCAGATCTGAACCATCTATATTTGATTTGAATGGTCTCGATTTAAAATGTTTAATTAATTATTTTTAAATTGAAAAAACTTTTTTTTTTGAAAAAAATGATACTTAAGAGATCGTCATTATTTTAGATTCTATACATATTAAAATAATTATTTTGAATAAATAAAAATAAAAAAGAAATCAAATCTGGACCATGTACATGAAATATAAATGATTCAAATTTGATGAGCTTATGATGTTTATAAAAAAGATGAGAACCGAAACTGGTTACCCGATATTAATTTAATTACTCTTGGTTTTCATTATTCCTTTGTTTATGTCATGTAAATTCAAATAAAAATCGTAACACTAGGTCTAATGTTAACCTGGATAATAAGAATATTTGTTTTTTGATAGTAAAAATAGTGGGGTTAGTGTTGAATTTTATTTTGAAAGTTATCGCGTAGAAGCTATGGATATTCAAAAAAATTTTAGATCAATATCGCTTTGAAAGTGTTAAAGAATGAGAAATGTCGTCCTTAGCTATTAAAAATGTTAGCACCTAATACTAGTTTTTTAATGATTAGTGTTAGTTTTTAACAGTTAAAACAAATTTCCTTTTTTTAAAGTACTTTTGTAATGATATTAATTCTAAAATTACTTTCAAATATCCACAACTTGTGCAGGAAAACTTGAACAAAATTGGACATATAACCCCAAAACTTTTATTTTTGCTGAACATTATTTTGCCTTTATTTAAAAAAATGGAAAAAGCGCCATGTTACCAAGCAGATGCATACGCGCTTTTTTTTTTTTTTGGGTCAATTGATTGATTGATTTTTTTTTATTTTCAATTTTCATTTGGTTCCGGATCAATGATATTTAGAATTCTGTTGGCCATGCTTGCAGATGCGCTTGCGTTGAGTAAGGCTCTATGCTCACCAAAGTTGGGAAGGAAATTTTTTTATAAAATAAATCCAAATGAAAAAATTTATTGAATTTTTTAGATGTGAAAACAATTTATTTGAATCTTGGACAATTAAATTTGGCGGTTTCATGTCTTCATGCATCAAAATCTGTTAAGGACTACCGGACTAGTTGGAATCTCGGAGAGGAGTTATGCCCAATGCCTATTGCTTTCTGTCAGGCGTGGGGCTCGGAAAGCCGAATGGATCCCAAATCACCCGCTTAACTCCTTCCTCCACTGACAATCATAGCCCTTCGGTCCAAGTTTCTTTTGCGTTATGAACAGGGGAGGAGATTGAATTGGTTGCTTGTCGAGGATTGAAGGAATCAGGATTCATTGTGATAGGTATTTTCATCATAAACTTTCTGCTTGTCATTCTTGGATAGCCGAAGCCAATGCTCTCCTACTTTCTTTTCCCAAGCTGTCATAATTTATGATTTTGGGAGTTACAATTCTCTTAGTGGGAAATAGTTGTTTTAAAGGTTCGGTGGAGCTGGGTTCATGTTTGTTTGTGTTTGGAGCAAAGGGTTTACAGCTAGAATGCTTGTTCCATGATAACCCATTCTAAGTGCATCCCAGATGTTTGATAAAATGCTTAAAATTAGAAGAGCCATTACAGCTATAGTTGGTAGCTAGTCATCATAGTTGCAACCTTGTTTAGACTTTGATCCATGAGACATTCAAACTATATTGTTATATCTTCAAGCGTAATTGGAAACCCTAGCTAAAGAGTCTAGCTTTTTAAATTAGATTATGTTAAGGTTGTGCGTATGGAAGTGAGAAATTAGAATGCACTGTTCTTCGACTTGCAGGAACTTGCTTGAAAACAAAGGGTAAAATGGAGTTTGACTTTTAGCATATACTACAAAAGCAGCAACTTCAGAGAAAATGCAGAGATTTTCTTTGAGAAGTATGTTTTTCTTGTACTATCGTAATCTTATCCCACATCCTTTGAGAAATCCATCAATGATTGGACATCGAGATATTGTAGCTCTGCTCTCTTCTACTGGCTTTGATGTAAGCACTTTTCGAACTTCTTCAAAGTCACATGCTAAAAACAAGCCATTGGGATCCGAGAGCAGCAGTAGCAATTTAATGTCCTATGTTGGAACAAGTGAGTTTGGCCTTGTCCATCTCGATGCTAGTTCAGGAAATACAAGTGACCAAAGCCACAATGAGTTTGCTTCTGATGTTGAAAAGATTTATAGAATACTGAGAAAGTTCCACTCCAGGGTTCCTAAATTGGAGCTTGCGTTGCAGGAATCAGGAGTTGTTGTGCGGTCTGGCTTAACTGAGCGTGTATTGAACCGCTGTGGTGATGCTGGGAATTTGGCATATAGATTCTTTGTGTGGGCTTCAAAGCAATCAGGCTATAAACACAGTCACGAGGTGTACAAAGCTATGATTAAGGTTTTGGGGAAAATGCGGCAATTTGGGGCTGTTTGGGCTCTTATTGAAGAAATGAGGAAGGAGAACCCAGAGTTAATTTCATCTGAGGTGTTTGTTATTTTGATGAGGAGGTTTGCTTCTGCGAGGATGGTTCAGAAGGCCATTGAAGTATTGGACGAAATGCCCAAATACGGGTGCGAGCCAGATGAATATGTTTTTGGGTGCTTGTTAGATGCACTGTGCAAAAATGGTAACGTCAAGGAAGCAGCTTCGCTGTTTGAGGACATGAGATTTCGATTTACGCCAACAGCAAAGCATTTTACATCATTGCTGTATGGTTGGTGTAGAGAAGGGAAGCTTATGGAAGCAAAGCATGTGTTGGTACAGATGAAGGATGCAGGGATTCAGTTGGATGTAGTGGTTTATAACAATTTGCTTAGTGGGTATGCTCAAGCTGGAAAAATGGGAGATGCTTATGATCTTTTGAAAGAAATGAAAAGTAAAGGCTGTGAACCAAATGCAACATCATACACGATTTTGATTCAAGCACTTTGCAAACAGGAAAATCTGGAACAGGCAATGCGGGTTTTTATTGAAATGCAGAGAAGTGACTGCGAGGTGGATGCTGTAACCTATACCACATTGATAAGTGGGTTTTGCAAGTGGGGAAAAATTGAGAAGGGTTATGAGCTTTTGGATCAGATGATACAGCAAGGCCATGCTCCAAATCAGCTGACTTATCTGCATATTATGGCTGCTCATGAAAAGAAGGAAGAACTGGAAGAGTGTATGGAAATTGTAAAGGAGATGCAGAAGATTGGTTGTACTCCTGACCTTAAAATCTACAACATAGTCATTAGGTTGGCTTGCAAGTTAGGAGAGGTTAAAGAGGGTGTTCAGCTTTGGAATGAAATGGAAGCAAGTGGGCTTAGTCCAGGGATTGACACCTTTGTCATTATGATTCATGGTTTTCTTGAGCAAGGTTACTTAGTTGAGGCCTGTGAACATTTTAAAGAGATGGCTGGGAGGGGTCTTTTTGCTGCTCCTCACTATGGTACTTTAAAGGAGTTGATGAATTCTCTACTCAGAGCTGAGAAGCTTGAAATGGCTAAAGATGTCTGGAATTGTATCACAACTAAAGGGTGTGAACTTAATGTGAGTGCTTGGACAATTTGGATTCATGCACTCTTTTCAAAAGGACATGTAAAGGAGGCTTGTTCGTATTGTTTGGACATGATGGATTCAGGGTTAATGCCGCAGCCAGATACTTTCGCAAAGCTTATGCGCAGCCTAAGGAAATTGTATAACAGGCAACTTGCTGCAGAGATCACTGAGAAGGTGAGGAAGATGGCTGCTGATAGGCAGGTCACTTTCAAGATGTATAAGCGACGAGGAGAGAGAGACTTGAAAGAAAAGGCAAAGGAGAAAAAGGAGGGGAGAAAGAGGAGGGCTAGAAGGCGCCGTTGGGGTGGAGGACGTGGGAAATCTAATGCCTTGTAAATCACAGGAGAGAAGTGTGACGTGAAATCTGAAGATTTCCTGGAGGAGTCTGGTTTCCAGCCTGCACGTTATGGGAATAGCCTGATATGCCTGGTTTTTTCTTAAGGCGACATCGTTGGATGACATTCGAATAGCAGTTCAGGTATTTGCTCTGTAAGTTATAATGACATGGATAGCTTTCAATCATATTTATTAAATAATGTGCTTGCTTGTTATACAGAAGTTGGTAGTTATTTTCATGATGCTAATTGTTAGAAAGTCCTTCGTACTGACATTTTGTTCCAGGTTATTGGTGGGTTCACTCGTCTCAGTGGCAAGTTGGATTTTTGTGTGGCCGACTAAATTGATTGATTTAAATCCTTTTATGGTATAAGAGAGTCAGTTCTTCTAATAATACATCAAATCTCAGATTTTTCTAATGTTTTATTCGGTCTTTATTTCCCCCAACCTGATTTGCATATCATTAGACAACGGTAGCCTGTCTAATCGTACATGTTGAGTGTTGAAAGCGGTAGGCTGTTCTCCTGGCTGGCTCTTTTAGCCCAACAATCTCTAACGCTCTGAATATTGTGGACTGTGGGCATCAGTACGTATTAATCAGAAATTTGCCACTTGCCGATAGTTGCCATAACTAATTGAAAAGGAGGATGTGCATCGTTAAAATGAACCTCCTTTAAACAATGCACATGATATAGACTATTAGTTAAGATGCTTAAGTTCTGTATAAATATGCACAGAAATTCATATTTTGGGGGGTGTGGTTAGTTACGTTGTTTGTCTATGTAGCCTATTTATAGAAGGGTGATGTATTCAGTTGTCATTGACCGTTAAGTGAAGTAACCAATTTTCCATTTCCCTGTGCCTCTTTATTCTCCTTCTCTGTTTCTCTATCTATCCTCCTCTTTCCTCCTCTCCCTCTCTCTCCCATTATGGTAGTACAATACTTACCGGTAGAACTAGCATGTCGTGCTGCTAAAATGGAATTCTAAAATATCTAATCATCTGTGGGGTTATGTTTTAATCATATTTCCAGTTGTATTTTGGCCAGTGGATGCTGGATCTTGTATCGGGTTTACGTTCCTGCCAATTTACCATGGTTTTGCGTAACAAAGTGCCAATGAGTTGTTACTTAGTGGCTCAATTGGCATAGACAACAAAGCATGTGGAATATCGACCAACTGAGATGTTTTGCATTTAGACTGTTCAGTTCACGGATTTTGGTCACCAAAAAGCTAAACTAGGGGGGTGTTTGGAACACCCCATAATCACTTCTCAGAAGCACTTTTCCGCAAATCAAGACAAACTCTTCCACATATTTATTTCGTATTCCGTAAAAGCATTTATGAAACCATGGTTTTGTTCTTACCCAAACACCCCCTAGGACATTACTTGAATCTAAAGTACATCAATTCCAATGGTACGAACCAATGTTCCTAAAATGCTACCATGCGATCTATCCTTTTGTTCAATACCGTTTGAAACCAAATAGCAGGTCTGGTTCACTCGCAATTTTCTATTGTCGAGCAGTCGACTAGCAAATTTATCGCATGTCTTGTACTTTGAAAATTAGCTGACATCACGATGATCTGTTTCATCATAGATTTCCTCCTACATAAATTAATCCAAAAGATGTGTAAATCTTCTGCTGGTACAAGAAAAGATATTAACAAGAATGTAAGAAAATTCCCCTCCTACCTGTAGTAGCTCCTCAATGACATCCTCGAGTGTAACAATGCCAACAGCTTCCCCATCTAGAGAGAGATTTTGCAGTGGTTCGTCATTGATTTGAAGCACCTCGGACTGGAAGGCGTTTGACCATCTCTTACCTTTTGTGCTTGTATTTGCCTCGTTTGGTAAGCTCTTAAACTTCTTGAGTGATCCTTTGCTCTTCAAACTCCTCTGTCGTGAATGCTTTTTGCTGTAAACATCCACTCTAACTTCTCTCACTGAGTTTATATATTGTCATGTGCTAGAAATCAGCCATTGACTCCAATTCCAGGATGGACGGTGAAGAGGAAAACAATAAAGCATAGCTTATCAAATAGAAGAGGGGAGCCAACGCTTTACCTTGTGTTGAGTTTTCATTGGCTGACCAATCTGCATCACTAAACTGTTTTACAACAGCAGCCATATGGCTGTGGCCTTTCTGAAACTCATTTAGTAGGTCATACAATGGCATTGTTTCAGAAACCCTGGTAAGCAGGTTTATATGGCTTAATCAAACCAACGTCACATAGTATTACAGATGAAACGATTTAATTCAAAAATATCAGAGCAACTACTCATTGAGGGTTAATTGTGTTTGTTTAGGTTTAAGGGTCATTGTGGCTCAGGTCCTTCATTTAACAGATGCCATCAAGCTGCCACTAGATTGGTATTCTAGTCTTTATGAAGACAAGTGATGGTATGCCATCGGTTGAGGTAACAATGATACCTTGGAATCTTGCGCATGGTGATATTCTTTAGTGGCATTTCGTTTTCCGGATTGATAGTTAATAGGTTCTTCACCTATTATTCATAAATATAAGAGGGATTCAGCTATATTTACTAGTGTAATAAACCCTCAACAAGAACCTCAACAAATGCTCAGTTAAGGCACGCACCCAAAAAAAAAAAAAATCGGATGTCACTTACCAATATTAGTCCGATAATGTTGCTTGGTTCCTTATAATAAACTGGAACTCTGCTATGACCTTTCTCTATAATCAAATCCATTAAATCCCTGCATGTTTGCAAAGCAAACTCGTAGAAGTCATTTCTGTGTTGGTTTGCATCGAATAACTAGCATGCACATATGATACGTAGAACACACCCCCCCCCCCCAAAAAAAGAAAAAGAAAAAAACCCACCCAAAAACATCACACACCTGTCCAGCTTGGCATTTAATTCTATCGCAAAAGTCTCAGTAATGGGAGTCATCACGTCTCTAGCGGTTCTCTCTGTTAGTTGAAGGGCACCCGCAATTATCATTGTCTCATCACGTGTTAGCTCTCCTCCTTTTCCAGCCTGCAAATGTACTGGGTGGCACAATTCAAGAGGGATAACAATATAATCAAGGAGACTGAAGAAAAAACTTAAATCAATCAGTCACCTCGTTGCTGTGCAGATCAACTAGCGTCTTCAATTCAGCTCGTCTAAACAGTGCATGGTGTTGTTTTCCCAGCAAGAAATCTAATAACTGGCAGAATCATAGTAAGTAACACTTGCCTATTACTAAGTGAAGCATTAATCTAGCTTGGGGGTCAAATGTTTACCTTGCTTATTGGGTATGCAATAGGGAAACAAATGCAAACAAGAACACGAACCACTGGAGCCACTGCTGCACCAATTGCCAAACCATACCTCGAACAAACAGCTTGGGGTATAATCTGTGTGACCGATGGTAAATGCCTTAGTCACTTTAAGCTGATCGTGTTCATTGTACTAGTCTGACTCTCAAACAATAACTCACCTCTCCAAACATTAGTATCAATGTTACTGAGATAAGAATAGCCCCCCAAGCCGTCACTAGACTGTCCAGAAAAATTGGAAGAGCCTGAGAAAATAAAAAATAAATGTATCAATAAAAAGATGAGCTTTCGTTATGGACTTGATTCAAGGATTTGAGTCAATATGTAGGGATCGTAGTTAGTACTTCCATTGCTGCTGCATTGCAGATCAGAAGTGTGCAGAGCAATAAATGCTGTCTTCTCACAACTGGCAATATCTTCGCTGTTTCAAGAGAGTGTGTTTGTGATGAGTCAATTTGTACCAACATCATGGACCATCCTTGAGATTAAGCTAAGCTCTGAATAATTGAAACAGTTACCGGCATGTTTACGATCAGCGGGTGTGCCTGACTTGGCAAGAACCTCAAGCTCCACGAGGCTCAGTGACATAAGGCCTAGTGTTAATCCAGACATCAGCCCCGCAAATAGCACTAACACAGTCACAATCAGGAGGCGAATGAAGAACCCTGTTTCGCAGCATGTGTACTCCACAGCCATTCACTTCTCTAACCCTTGCTTTCTTCACCACGACCAATAAGCTCTCGTATCAGGAGATGAATACTCTACAAGACTCATATAAGCATATGTTAAAACAGCGAACCACATTCTACAAATTTCTTTTCCTCCACAAAGGGACAGAATAACATCATATTCGAATATCTTTAATATGAGGTTCAAACTTCAGGAACTTACTTTTCCCTGTCTTTTAATTTCAGAATGATTTGACTTTAGTCGGTGCCCTGTAGGCGAAGTAACAGAACTTTTGTAGGAGGACAGATATTGTTGCTGATTCATAGCTGCTGTGTTTGTTCGCGAGTCCATTAAATCCATATCAGCCCCTGCGCGAAGCCATCTTCTTTCTGTTCCCTGTTTGCAATCTGACACTTTCACCACGGAGATACTTAGGAATTTTTTGGATTGTTGGAAAAATACTTTTTAAAAAATATTTTTTTAATAAATCAAGATAAAATTCTGTATATGTTATCTTAAATATTTTTAAAATCGTGATTTTATTTCTACACAACTGGAATTCATCTCTCTTCCGGTGCAGGAGATTAAAAGCGTCTTTTATCTTAAACTGACACGTAAGAGAAAAGTTATTCTCCTGTATTTATATGATTTACTCGGGAAGTTTCGCAGCATACGGATTCTGATGCTTTATGAGTCATTAGCCACTTGGAGAATTGTGTCTGTTTTGGCATCTCGTAGAGTCAACACCTGGTCACCGTTACTGTATATGCACGCAAGAGATAATCTTGATGATGTGGATTACTGTTTTTCTATGTGTTTTCTTCTTCAAGAAATACTGTAGTGAAAGGTGCTTTAGCACTTCCGGTGTCAGAGGATATGTGAACGGGGGTCGAGAAAGTAACAGATAGTTCAGTTTCAGGTATTAGTGCAATCACTCTTGTGCGGCCTCCCCCAACGTTAGAAGTCAGAACCCAAATGAAGAATTTATATTTGCTGGTTTATCAACCATAGCATTTTGCTTTGTTACCTAACTCGAAGTTTGTTGTCAGATCAGACTAAGGAGATTATTTTTGTTACATATTTTATTACTTTTCTTAAATTATCACATATTTAAAGGATTTTCGGTGAAATTAATCATAGCATGTTAAAATTACATAATTTTATATTTATTAAAAATAATAATTCTATATTGTATCAACCTCCGGTGATTTTTATTAAAATTATATGATTTTTCATTTTTAAAATTAATACAAGTATTCTTCAAAAAAAATATATAGACGGTTATTGGGTTTTGTATAATTGTACTGATGTCTTTGTAATTTTAACAAATTAAGAAAATTGTATTAATTTCAATACTATAATGAAATTGATATGATCCCGATAAAATCCAATAAAAAGTGTGTGGTTTTAATCATAAAAGTATTTTTACATTGATTTAGTGAAAGTATGTATTTTTAAAATTCCATTAATAATTTGTTTACAATAATATAAAATAAACATTTAAGTCAAATTGTGAGAGTTGAACTTGCTACTTAGGCCAGAGTCCAACTGTCCAGACTCGCAATTTAGTAAGATGGAAAATAAATAAACTTTGGGGTGGGGTCCACAGCCGGGCCCAGTGCCCAGTACCGACACAATGATCGATTAATTTATTACGATAAATTCTTGTTGTCACTCAGTTGCTTTATCCATCGATGATGCTTGCGGAAGAGCGCGCGTTTTGGCCACCACGGCCATAGTTGGCAGCACATCCACTCTAAAAGAAACCACAAGATCTTCAAGTTTCAGCGGGCTTCATAGATCTAAAGATCCACACATTAGCGATTTCTGATCTAACTCACTCCTCAACTACAATCATCCATCCTCCCACCTTATTTCCGCAATTCCCTTCTCATCAGGTTTCGCTATTGTCCTTCACATTTCAGTTTTCATTTTCATTTTCTTCCATCCGATTGTTCGTTTCATTGCATTTCGTGTAAACTGTGCAAATGCATGTTTAGATCGATATGAGTGTTTCTATGCTTATTGCATCTTTGCTGAATAAACTCGTAATGACTGGATCCCTCTGCAACCTCCACTTCCCGCAGTGTTTCGTTGTGAAAATCTCTTTAACTTGAGCTTCTTGAATTCTTTTTTTCCCCGGCGTTACGTTTACAATCTATTTCCTTGCATATGTAAGTAAGTTGGGAAAGAAAATGAATCGAATCGTGTTCATGAAATGTACTTGAAAGGAAAGCAAACAGCTACCCCACTTGTGCTCGTCATACTTGTGTCTTTATGGCTCACTTTCGCATTACATCTAATTACGAAATTCATAAGTTCATTCATTTGTAATGAAATCACTGAATTCTTGCTATCACTAACCCAAGACATTCTGAAAATGCTAGGGACCTCTGAAGCACGCAAATGTGCCACGAAACAAACACAAATGCATTGCCGTGGTGAACTCTAAAAAAGTAAAGATGAGTATAACAGAAATGACATAACTTGCATAAACCTTGTATGAATGTTATGTTTCTGAAGAAAAACACAATCATCCGTATTTTGAAGATGGATCCTCTGTTGTTTCTCTCTACTTTTCTGTTGGTCTTTTCACCTTCCCCGGGTTTCCCTTGCCCAAGCCATTTTCGGCGCAAGGCCAAGCTGTATTCAGTCCGCGCCTGAGCTGAAAGAATCAATTATTATTTTGATGAAATATCATTTTTTTAGAAAATTTTTGACACGATTATACGTGCACCAGACTCGTTTCGATTGTGTGTCTTGAGTCTTGACGGTGTTGGTGCCAGATACATGACGCGCCTGAAAATTTCTAGCTCAAGTCATTTGTTGTGATGAAGTTTTCACATGTCTTCTCTAACTATTGCATCTGAGGATTTCAAATTTAAAGCGTAGGCATGAGTTCTTTTATTGTTTGTACTCTGTGGAACTTCTTCAGTCATTCGTCTGATTGGGTGCATCACTTTTAGGGAAGAAGTCATGTCGAGGAGGCACGTGAGTTCCACCCGACGTGGTGAAAGCATTCTGCTTTCAGGATTCTTGCACTCAAAATCAAGATCTTCTCCCCTGTTATCCATTGGCCTTGTCCTTTTGGTAATTTTGTATTTGCAATGCGATTGCTTCTATCAAATTTTTTATTGTAGTATGTTATCAGAGTTTGCTGCATTCAGAATAATCCATCCATGGGGAAGAGGGTTAATCCTATATTTATATTGGTGAAAATTGCAGGGAGTATTCTTCCTTGTCATCTATGCTTCGGGTGGTTCAGGTAACAACGTTTTCTATATTCATTACATTATCTTATGCTTCAATAATTAAGCCATATTTTGCATCTAAATCTGGTCATCTATCCAGTTTTCGTTAATAAGTAATGTGCTGATTAGAGGTCTTTGACATCTCATTTTTCAAGTATTCATTAATTCTCATGCATTTTGATGGTATAGATAATCTTACATTGCAAAATTTACAGGTCTATTGGGTGGAAGAAAAGATGTTCTTAGCAGGGTTGAAGGTAAGAGCTCATCATGTTTTCTCCTAGAGTTTTCTCTTTTTCTTCTTTTGGCCAACACTTGAGTTTAGAATTTGGACACTCTCATTTTGCAATGTGATTTTTATCCTGTGGCAGCAACATACCTGTCCCTATTCATTGCCATGTGCTCTGCATACAGTGACCTTGCTAATTCTGGCCAAAGCATAATATTCCCTGTTCATTTGCAACATGACTATTTATACAAATTATTCCAAATTTACGTGACGGCAGATTCTGCTATAATATTTCTTCTGCTTCCACTAATTGTAAACTCTAAATACCTAGGAGCTGCATTCTCTTCTCTATCATTCTATTATTTCCTTTCCTTCTTTCAAAAAGACGCTTAAAAAAGAACATTATGCAGTATATTCAAGAGAGAGCAGAACTAATATATATGCCTTATTTATGTATCACATGTTAAAATTTTGATTAATATAGAGTTATTAATTATTAATATAATGTGACCTAAATATTGTTTGGATCATTTTTGAACCATGGGTAAATTTTGGTTTAGCGACCACAACTGAAGTTGTTCCTTTGCACTGTGTTGGATGACTCACAGCCTGAACCGACAACACATCATTTCCTCTTATAATGATTGGTCATCTTGTAGGTGACGATTTTTCATGCACTTCTGAAGTTCAAAGGGCAATTCCTGTTTTAAAGAAATCATATGGAGAAAACATGAAAAAAATTTTGCACGTGGGCCCTGATAGTTGCTCAGTGGTTTCCAATTTGTTGAGAGAAGAGGAAACTGAAGCATGGGGTATGGAGCCATATGACATTGAGGATGCTAATGGGAACTGCAAGGCTCTAGTGAAGACAGGCATTATACGGGTTGCTGATATCAAGTTCCCTCTACCATATAGGGCAAAGTCTTTCTCTCATGTTATTGTCTCTGATGCTTTGGATTACTTGTCTCCAAAATATTTGAACAAAACTCTTCCTGAACTGGCGAGGGTATCTTCTGATGGTATTGTTATTTTCACAGGTACCTCATGATAAGTAAATAAAAAATCCTAGTCTTGCTTTTCATTTGTCATACTTATCTCTCCCGTGCAGCACTACTCACTTACATGATAACAAGATGCGTGCCACCATTTACCACCTAATTCAATTTTTGTTTGAGTATTGATTTCTATTTGTTGGTTGTTTCTAGATTTTTCAACAACTGAAGCAATACTTTGTTATTCCTGCTGGACTTGAATATTCTGTTAATCCGATGCCACCTCTTCTTATGTGTAGGTTACCCTGGTCAACAGAGAGCTAAGTAGCACAATTGGCCAAATTCGGCCGTCCGGTAATTAATCTTCTGTTGCTGCCTAATGCCCTGTTTGACTCTTTAATAATACATATGGGAGTTCAATTATTTCCCGCATGTTATCTAAAAATATAACACTACGTCTGTAGAATTCCTTTGTCTTGAGAAATGACTGGGGACCGAAATCATCTTAATATTAGATTTGTTGGAAATTGACACTTTATAAGCAGAAGTTAGATTCATTCTTTTTAAAGAAAAGAAAGAAAAGAAAAGAAAAGAAAATTAGTGAATCCTCAGCTTTCTCCTCAATTACCAATGTCACAATGCTAATTGAGCAAGGCCAGAATACATCTATAATCCTTATTGATTGTGATCTTTTTTCTATTTTGCCTGGAAACTTGCATAACCTTGTAGAACAGATTAAATGAAGCAGCTTTCTATTGACCTTATATGTTAAGCAGACCATTGTTCCGAAGCTCATTGTTTTAGAAGACCATTTAATTCATCATTGCAAACAATTAACATTTCTGCAACTCTGAAGGCCAAAATGCGGAGTTCATCTTGGTGGACACGATTTTTCACCCAAAAAAGCTTATTGGAAAATGAAGCCATCACCGACAAGTTTGGAAGAAGCTGCATCAAAGATGTCATACAAGCCATTCTGCCAAATATTCCACCTCAGTTCACACCTTTGATGTGTAAATTC